TATAAAAGTAAATAAATGGAAAATAAAATAAAATAAAACAGACCCTAGCACCAAGGCACTTACTGTTTCACACTAAAAACCATTCACTCCAGGCTTTATTGAGGTGAAAGTAAGAAGAGTTCAAAAATATGTTAGTTCTTTAGAGTTTGATAAAAATGCACATGGATTTTTAATCTCATTAAAATAAAGAATGTGGCAAATACGTACAATGGAATATTATTCAGCCATAAAAAGGAAAGTCTGCCATTTGCAACTACATCAATGAACCTAGAGGACATTATGCTAAGTAAAATAAGCCAGCTGAAAAAAGTCAAAAATAAAAAAAATAATAGGAAGCCAATTTCAGAGAAACAGAGAATAGAACAGTGATTACTAGGAGCTGAGAGGAAGGAAAAATGAATGATTGGGTCAAAGGGTAAAAATGTCCAGTTACAAGAAGAATAAGTCCTGAGATCTAATGTGCAGCATGGTAACCACAGTTAATAGTATGATACTGTACACCTGAAATTTTCTGAGAGTGGATTCTCACTACCACCATCGCAAAGAGTTAACTATGCGAGGTGATGGATGTGTTAGTTATCCTGATCTTCGTATTCACCCCACAATGTAGTTGTCTATCAAATCATCGCGTTGTCCACTTTAAACATATACAATTATATTTTTCGATTTCTCCCAATTACTCTTCAATAAAGTTTTTAAAGAAAGACATTTTTAGACAAATCAAAAAAAAAAAGAATGACTTGTTTTCACTTTAATAATTCAAAATATTCTAAATAGTTATTAGAATTCTGTTTGTCTGCTCTTCTAGGCCCCAGAGAAACAACAGTAATGAAACCGACAATAGCTCCTGCTGGCATAGACTTTGTGTTTTAGTGGGAGAGACACGTGATAAACCAATTAAAATATAACATAATGTCAGATAGAGGCCAGAAAAAATAAAGTGCTACAGAAAAATAAAGTAAGATAAAATGATAGAGTCCGAAGGAGGTAGCCATCTGGGGCAGATGATCAGGAAAACCTCTCTACAAAAGTGATGGAGAGACCAGAGCGGGGGGTGGGCAGAGTAAGGAAGGAAACTCTGCAGCTTTCTGGAGGGAGAGCATCTAAGGGGTGCATTTGGAGTTTTGAAGGAATAGCAAAGGGAGAGGGTCATAGGGGATAAAAAAAAATTGTTATAGTGAAAAGGAGCAATTTCCTTTAGAGTATATAATTTTAGGTTCTATTCAAAATCAGGCCAGTATTAGATCATTCTTATAGTAAATATTCCTTATGAGCCTATAAAGTAGCAAACTCTGGGCTCAGTGCTGGGGACAGTGATGAACAGAATCATCATGGCCTATCGCGAAATAAATGAAAATTTCAGCTCTGTGAAGGAAAAGTGCATAAAGGATACAGACCAGGGGAAGCATGCTCTGCCTAGAGAGGGGCTAGGCTGAGGAGGCTACATTCCAGTTGAGAAGCAAAGGATGAGAAAGAGTCAATCAGATGTCAAGAAGATAAAAGAGTATTTCAGCTAGAGGGAGCAGCATGTGCAAAAGCCCTGTGGTCAGAGGGAATGTAGATGGAACATCTAGGATTTGGCAGAGTAAAATCTGGGTTGAGGTAACGCTGGATAACTTGGCAGAGGCTAGAGTATGCAGGGTTGTCTGCTTGTGGCCACACTGAGTACTTGGTCTTTAAATTATGAGCAGTTGGAAGCTACTGAAATGTTGTAAGCCATTTAACAGTTTCTGAGTTCTGAAGATATTGTAGCTTTCTTAAGAACTTATGAGGTACAGTCAATAGTTGGGCATGCTTCACTTTGTCTCTACTTGTCCAGGTTTGCATACAGGATTATTTTGATCCATCCAGTGAAAACTTCACCAGCTTTTGTTTTTATTATCTAATATCATGATGTGAATGCGATTACACTAAGCAATAAAGTCTGAATTCTCATTCCAGGATTAGTCAGTTTTCCATTTTTATTAGACCATACTTGCTTATTACCCAGAAAACCCAAATACATGTTCAGTGAAGAACTAGCCTTAGTAAAATGATTCTCAGAGCTGAAACTCTAAAATCTGCTCTGAAAATGCAGTTGAAGATAGTGGGCAGCTTGGGACTGTGAAATTGGAGTTAGACATAGACATAAAAAATGGAACCAAAGTACTTATTTATAAGGAGATTATTTTCCATGAGAATGATAACAATGACCAGCCTAATAATGAATCAAACCAGATGAAGAAAATGAGATTTTATTGACCTTCTGTTCTAGCATAGTCAGTCCAGTGCTCACACACGATTTATCTAGCAGCTGAGATACAGAATAAAGAATGCTCTGAGGCACTTCCTACAATAGTTGATAAAGAGAACTCTCTTCCATTAAATAAATTAATATCTAAGGAAGTAAAAGCAAAAGAAAAGAGCAAAATAACATGGGAACATCAACCTCATCAAACTCTGGGGACCCTTGAGGGCAGTGCCGGGCATCCAAGATCCCCATTAATAGGCTTAGAGAAGCTCAGAAGGATCACACAAAGATGACAGAATTTGGAGAGAAATACCCTGCGGATGGCTAAAGGGGCAATTCAAGTAAAGGCATGAAGGTGTGGGACTCAAAGTAAGGACTATGAAAGATATCTGTTTTATTTTTGTCTAATTCAAAAACTCAGAGAAAACCCAAAATTAAAAATATGGAAAATTCAAAAGAAACTGGACATATTAAACAATTTATTAAGAAACACCTTACGTTTGGAACAATTAGAACTTGAGGGAGTATAATAGGTGACAGTGTGGGGACCCTGGCCAGGTCTCCACCTACTGACATATCCAGTACAAGCCCTTGGCATCATACTGCTAAGCAGTGTCCCATGACTCTCTGCCTGAGGGTTTTCTCCCAGCCCACTGCAGTCAGGCCAGAGTGCCCGGGAGTTAACCCTCCAAAGCAGCCCTTGCTAGTGACATGTTCAAACTTGAAACTGGAAAAAATAAAAAAAGTAAAAAAATACTTCGAGCTTTCGCTCGGCATACAGGACAACTCTGAAACATCTACATTATATCTCAGATGATAATCTATGAATCTCATTATTAATGTTTCCTGTACTGGCTGCTTTCCCTTCTCTCTTGTTTCCCCATTCCCCTACGACCATTTCCTGGGACCGCCTCCCAAATAAACTATTTACTTGAATCCTGTCTTCTGGAGAAACCCTAAGTAAGAAAGGAACGGATTTTAATTAGAAACCAAGTTGTTGTTGTTGTTGTTGTTGTTGTTGTTGTTGTTGTTGTTGTTTTTAACTACAGGCTCAGTTGAAGACATCAAAAACTAGGAAGACAGATGGTTTGTGATGTTAAAGTCATCAAACCCATACACAAGGGGCATTTCCAACAACTAGGGGAAAGAAGAGGTAGGAGAAGGGAGTAGAAATAATTTTTAAAGCAATTTAAGTGAACAAAAAGCATAATGCAAAGATGAATGGTGATAAAATATACTGTGCATTTAATGAAACAATTGTGATATACTTAAATAAAATAGATGAACTATATTAGAAGGTTCACCTTTTCTAATTGTTCAGTTACTGTAAAATTAAAGGAAAATGTAACTCTATCTTTGGACTAATAAAGCAAAATACTTGTCATGTTTTAGATTTCTTCCTACACACTCTAGAGTCTCCCCGCCCTAACACACACAAAGGTATCATGTTAGCAAAACTAAAATTCTAAAATTGGGAATAAATCTGCTTATACCAAGTATGACCCACTGAAATTTGAGTTTGTATTGTATTTGTTTTGTAAAATTGACTGACAATCAAATCTGTTCAGGAATATATGATAATTTAACACTTTTGTGATTAAACTTTCATTATATCTGAAAAAGAATGCAAAGTGAAACAAAAGAAAATTATTCATACAGCAGAAGTAATGGGTTGGTCAACATTGTTAAGAGATTAAGTGTACACATAAACTTGCCTTTTTCAAGGTACAGTATTAGCCTGGCCACCAACCTCTGTATCTTCTAAGTTAGTTTCAAGAACAAAGATGTGAGAAATTTCTAGTAAAATAAATGATAATTCACCCTCCAAAACACTATTCTGAACATTTTTGTATGAAAGGAATTTTTTAAATGAGGCTGTTATTTACAATTTCCACTCACGTGCCCTTAGAAGATTCACATTGAATTCTATCCTCAGTAATCAACTGCACAACAATAAACTAGATTTAAAAAGAAAGTAGAAGGGTCTTGATTGCCTGACTTCATGAATGACATTTAAAATATTTCCTTGAAATCTACTATGTCTACTGATGACTACATCTTTCCGTTAATTTCAGCAGATTCAAACAAGTTATACATGATCAGCAAAAGATTTTTCACTTCAAAATAATTAATAGATTGCAAAGAAACCTTCAAAGCATGCTAAAGAAGCTATAAGTGTCTCAATTCATCAAAATATAAACACTCATTTATCCAAGAAGCAAACAACCTTGTAAACATATGTGTAAGTATTTATGTCATGATTTACTCATTCACACAATATAATTTATTAAGCAATTATTATTTACCAGATGCTGGGATATATATTAGGACATAAAAACTCTTCCCCTACCCTTGAATGTTTATAGGCATAAAGAAAGAAAAAGAATCATACATACCATAGGTGCAATAAAATGTTCCAAGTGTCATTTTGGCTAGCAAGTCTACTAGTTCTTTCATAGATTCATTCAACAACTATTGCACATCTACTATATGTCAAGGATCATTTCAATTTATAAGTAGTAAAAGTAGTTCCTAAGAGGGTCAGAGTTACGTTAGAAAAACAATAATTTGTTGTTGTTGTTGTTGTCACTTTAAACACACATAACAATGTACAGAATTCTACACATGCATATTACCTGAGTAATTGGGGAAAACTTACTAAACAAGCTTCATTTCCTAAAACTGTCTTTTCTTTGTGAGCCAAGAAAAAAAATGAAAGCCCAAACGAGTTAAGTATGATGTTTGAGAGCCATAAAATAACTGTCCTTACCAGGAATACAGGATTGTTCCAACAACAGATGTGAGTTTACTGTTTTCTTGTTTTTGCTTTGCCAGGCCAAAGTCAGCTACAATTCATAAAACAAAACAATGTTATTATACTTTCCCAGAATTAGCATCGTTCCTTAAGTTTTATAATAACTATTACAGTTCACAATAAAAAGCTTTTTTTTATTTTATATTTTTTTACCTTCAGTCATAATGCCCTATGTACTAGCCTTCTATACCACTCCCAGCCTTAATGAATAGCATACATATAATATGTCTATATGCTACATAATTTGACATAATGAGGTTTATCATTTTAAAAAACTAATGTTAGTTTTGACTGAAACATAGGACAAAGTACTAATTGAACTTTTGATTTCACTTTTTAAATTATCTCTTACAATTTTAAATTGATGGAATGAATCTAATATTTTCGCATATGGCAGTAATGATCTCATCTGGCCAAAATAAAAATAAAAATAAAAATGAAAATAAGGTAAGCCTGAATAACTAACATGAAGACCTAAAAACCTGAAATTAAATGGCATCTATTGGTACTAAATCACAGTAAATATGATATTTAAAATAATCTTAAAATATTTTTATGTCAACAAGGAATGGTTTGAATTTTTAATTTAGAACATCAAATATCTATAATATTAGCACTAGCTTTACTTTTCAAATCACAAATACTTCTCTTTTATAAACCACTCAACAACTTATATTGAGGTGGTAGGAAAATATTCCTCATAACCTCATTGTACAGATTTACCAACATTTCAAAAGATGTAATTACCAGTATTACATAAAAACATAGTGCTGAACCAGAGCAGCCCTGGAGGATAAGAGGCCAAGTTCAGGCAAAAGCCAGAACTAACTGCCAGGCATGTGATCTCCAGTCCAAGTCAAGGCTTCAGATGATGCAGCCCTAGTTGACAACTTGACTAAACCCTTGTGAGAGACCTTGAGCGAGATCTACCTAACTAAGCTGCTCCTGAATTCCTGACCCTTGGAAATGGTGAGAAAATAAATGTTTATTGTTTTTACCCACTAAGTTTCACAGTGATTAGCACCACAGCAATACATAATTAATATAACCACTACTGCCCTACTCTGAGCCACCATGAACCTTCACCTAGGCTACTGAACTATAGTTCCTAAACAGGTTCTCTGCTTCCATCACTCCCTTCAAAACGTAACTCTCCATTCCTGAGTCAAAATGATCTTCGAAAAACCTAGAGCAGATATCCCCACTAATGAGGTTAAAATTCTACAAAGACTTCTGATAAATACTAAGAACCAAGGCTAAACTCCTAACAGGCATATAAGATCGTACATTATCCAGGTTTTTGGAAATGTTTTATTTGACCACACTATCAAAAATTTGTCCCCTTCTTCAACACCTTTCTGTTACATTTACTTAATTTTTAACATCTTTCATTACCTGAAATTACTTTATTTTTATTTAACATTCATTTTTATTTGAGAGTCTTAATTAGTATGCAAGATACAGGAGCAAAGACTATATCATTTATCACTAGATTGACAGAGATATCTTTTGATATATATATAGATATATATGCATATGGATATGTCTGTCTGTCTATCTACTTATCTATCTACCCACCCTCCTACCTACCAACCTATCTACCTATTCATCCTCTCAATCCAACAGTACTTTGGACAAATGGGAAATATTAGAGGCCTAAATTATATGAAGTGTTAAGAACTATCCACAAGCTACATGGCTTGCTATAACCTTTCTATTCCTCTATTATGTAATGGAGAAAATTAGTAGAAATAGTATAGTATTTTAATATTTTTAGGTGCTCACGATAATTTTAGCACACATAAACCTTGACCAATTTGCAATCTAAAATAAGCCTTTAACTTTTAGTTCTAATTCTACATAGAAATTATCTTGCCTTTATAAAAATGCCATTGATTTTAAAAGGCAAAACTAAGTAGTGGTTCTCACAATGATTCTACCCACTCCAGTTAATTTAGAAAAATGGCAGAAATGCAGACTAATGGTTGCAAAAGCATAGAAGGTGGAGAAGTGCTCTTAAGGAAAGTGAAAGCTAATATTGTTCCGCCATTTGGAAGATTTTAGTGTTAGCAGTTATGTTTCTATTACTCTTTCCTCATTTGTGATCATATTTGGAGTACAGGAAAAAGTTTTACTTCAGGAACTATGGTCATAAAAGCATTCATGTGCTATAATAGAAATTCAAAAATGGCAACAGAAAACAGTTTTGTTCTTTCCCTGTGCATTGCATATAGCACATTATTAAAAGAGAGAAAAAGAGAAAGAGAGAGAATTAGGATTAAAAATACTCTCCTTTGATAGAACAAAAGATACAGATAATGGTAAAGACTATATAGCATGTTGCTGCTACCGCCTACGGCTGCCAATCTTTAGATGGAAAAGCTGTGGTCTTGAGTTGAGTTCTTAGATTCTTACTCTGTTATTTACTACTTGTGTGACATTGGACACATTATTCAGCTACTCTGTTTTCTCAAAAATGGCCTACAAAATCTACCTTAACTTTTGCAAGGATTGCTCTGACAACTTACAATAGATGAGAAGCATTCTGAAATACTGCACAGATGTATGGTGTTCCTATCCCTCTGCACAGGGAGCTTTCACCTATCACAGGCGTGTCAGTAACTCCTAAATTCACAGCCAAGCCAGAAAGCCCCGGCCTCTGTCTGGGGCTTCATCTGAACCACTTGCCCCTTCACACCCCAGAGTAAGTTCATCATTCACAGCCCTCTGGGACATGGGTCCTCAACCCCCAGGCCACAGACTGGTATAGGTCAGTGGCCTATTAGGAACCGGGCCGCATAACAGGAGGTGAGTGGCAGGCGAGCAGGCGAAGCTTCATCTGTATTTGCAGCGTTTCCCCAGCGCTATCATCACAGCCTTAGCTCCTCCTCAGATCATCAGGCATTAGATTCTCATAGGGGCACCAGTCTGTGGTGTCAAAAAGATTGAGGACTGTGGCTCTGGGATATCCCAAACAGCAGATGGCAACGCATTGTCCCCATTACCCAGGCTTAAAATCTCTGTTCTTCCTTTGTGCTCCTACATTCACCCACTCACCAGCTCTTGTAGCTAAACCTTTGTTTTCATTCTGGGACCATAGTTTAAATGTCCCATGAGTCCAGGCCCTCGTTCCTCCTGCCATACATAATCTAAATGCCCCTCATCAGAAGCTCTTCCTTCTGATCCATTCCATAGGGTATTTAATAATGGAACAATCTACTAGCCTTTGTTTTTATCACAATAAGCCCCAATATAAGTACCAGGAGGCCTCCTGATTGCTAGTCCTTATAAAGTTTCCAGCTTCCCTACTAGCCTTCAAGACTCTCCATTTATTCATCGATTTATTCATTAGTCCAATTAAAATATACACTAAACATTTACTATGTTCCAGGTACTAAAGATAAAATAGTAACCATGTCAGAAACCGTTCATATTGACAGCTCTTAGGGACAATGGTAGAGATACACATTAAACAAAGAATCATACACATAAATGTAGATTTGCAGTTGTGACAAAATCATTAAAGAACAGGTTAATATATGATGTAATGAGAGGATATAGGGGACGCAGCTTGTAAGGGAAAACATGTGTGACAAAATGGTGATTGACTAAATATGTAAAGGAGGACAGGAGTTAACTACGTAAGAAGAGAAAGTAGAGAAGAAACTTCTAAGCTGAGGAAGCCACATATGCAAAGGTCCTGTGATCAAGTAAGTATAATCCATTAAAAAAACTGAGAAAAGGCCAGGCTGGCTGGAGAGTAGAAAATCGAGGGTATGGCCCAGTGATGCAGGACTTCACAGGCCATGTTCAGATGACTGACCTCTGTCATCATCGCCCATCTGAAAATGTCCATTTCAAAAGAGCTGTTGGCCTCATTCTTGCACAGCATTTTGATTAAGAGCACCTTGGTGCCCCAAAACGTGCCTTTTTTCTTTACCTGGAATGGCTCCCCTAAGGGAATACTATTAAGAGATTTGGTTAAGCGACAAACTCTAGAGGCAAAGGTGGTTCATCCCTGGCACTGCCAATCTATTAGTTGGGTGTGCTTTAAGCAAGTTTCCTAACCTCTCTAAGCCGTTTTATTATCTGTAAAGATGGAAATGTGCCTCAAATATTGGAAGAGAAAATGAGTATATGATTTTTATGCCATAGTGAACGCTCAAGAGATGTAGCTACGGGCAGCTGCTTCTTTACTTCAAAGCATAGCTAAAATTTTTGAAATCTTAAGGATGTCTCTCTAAGTGAAAACGAGGAATGACTCTGATAATTTCAGGAGATGATCAGTTGAAACCCCATGCTAGGCGATGGCAGAGGTGTCTACTTGAACACAGCTGTGTAAGAGGCCAGAAGGAAGATGTCCACTTTGCAACCCTATCTTGTCTAAAGTTCTGCCCTTTCCTTCTCCCTCAGCAGATGGAGCGGCCAGCCTCCAACTTCTATAGCAGGGGGATCATCAGTAATCCTCTGTGCAGGGCTCCACTAGGGACAAGAAGGGGATTCCCAGAAAGATGCTCGGAATTTCTCCTCAACAAACCCCTGTCCCACTGGCAGGTACTTCCTCCTGTGAAGGCAACTCAGATTTCTAATCCCTGTCCCCAAAACTGCCCTCGACCTTCCTCCAAATGAAGTATAGCTGTCATAAACCATATTATTTCTAATTCAAAAAGTAGAACCTTAATCAAGTCTCAAATGAATTTCTAAAATAGGGGAAGGAAGCAGGAATTGAATGCTGGTATACCAGGGAGCTCTTCCCCCAGGCCCCATGCCACTCTTCCAAAGCCCCCTTCCCTGCTCCCCCGTACAGACCCTACCCAGGGTGAGGCAGAGTGAATGTATTCCTTTTACTCAGCAGCACCACTATTTTGTTGATTTTTATTGATGGAGTTGTTATGACTGGGAGCTTCAGGATGAAAAATTCAACACCTGACACAAGGGTACTTCCTGAATCCTAGGTAATTCCAAATCTACTGTACACAAACTTCATTTTACTTTAGGATGGCTTTCAGCACACTGGATTCTTCGGGAACC